AAGTTGGACCAGACTGCTCATGGTATGCCAATTTAATTTAACATCGGTTAAGTAGTTTAGGAGTCCATCGCGGACAAACATAGTGACAGGAGATTTATATATATAAGATATACCTATATATATATTATATATATATTTTATATTATATTTATATTTAACGAACTTTAACATCAAAAGAGTATACAGAAGTCGAGCGCCCCTCAGCCGTGGTTTCCACCGAAAACCCAAATTTGTCTTGCTAACGGTGAATGGCAACAATGCAATAAGAGAAACGAAAAAATATAATACAAATTTGGTGTCGTTGCCAAGCAACCAGATCGTATTCGAAGAGTGAGAAAGAAGGGGAAACTTAGGAATCATGGTACAACTACATATGTATATATAATAATTGTACCATGCTTAGGAATATCCCTTTCCCTTTCCTACACACATGATTGGTAATTGCCACAATTCACTTGTAACAGCCAGAACTGCAGGGTTACTGCAAATTTCTATACCACAAATTTCTATACTACAAATTTCTATTCTACAAAAAGTTTAAGTCTATCCTTATAAACTGTTTGTTTCTTGTTGTTAAAACTTATAATATTCTTTTCTCCGATTTCCGTTACTGTATAATTTTGTCAAAATAGGATAAATAATAGAATTAATTGAAATAAATTGATAACGTCGTTGTTTTTTATCCCACGACTATAATTTTTAGAACATCGATTTTTTTAAATACCCTGGAATGGGGGAAAAATTTCATAAAAATCGTGCAATTTATAGATACATATCTGCCATAGGAAAGATCGAAAAATCTTTATCACACGACAATGTTTTTCTAACATCGTTGTTTTTTATCGACTTTTGAATTTCGAATTAAATTTCATAAAAAAATGTCTACGCTATCATAGAGCTGTTATATGAACAATAGTCGAAAATATCGACGCATTTCCGCGACTGTATCGTATGTAGAAAAATCAAAATTACAGGAGAAGCTTTTTCTGTATTTTTGTATTTCGGTATTTTTGTGCGATTGCAGTATTTCCATGCAAATTTGTATGGACATACGATAATTTCGCGCGCACATTGTAACATACGATAAAATTGAAACTTAATTTTTTTCGGAACTATAGGGCTTTCAGTTATCATATTTCACAGGGTAGTGAGACATTAGGTGCCCAACAATTTTGCATTAAAATCTCAATTTCGAAAAAAAGCGACATACGATACAGTCGCGGAAATGCGTCGATATAGACGAATAATAAAAAAAAAAGAAAAATCGTCATAGCTTCGATGTTTTTATCCTTTATGTATTTTGTTCGACGTATTTGATGACTGTTTAATAAGGTTTTATCTCCTACCGATATACATACGAGGTGTGTTCAAAAAGTATCGCGAATTTTGAATTTTCGCGGGTTACCTCGTATCGAATTTCGATTTTTTAATGGCGTTATGTTGGTACTCATGTCTATCACTTATGCCGACAAGCTCGGCCATTTTGAATGTTCACTTAATTGTTGACAGCTGCTTTGCTTGCACGTGTTTTGGATCGTCTTCGATTTTTACCTATTCAAAAAAATGGATTAAAGAACCTGTATCAAATTTTGTGTGAAAAACGAAATTAAGTGCGTGGATGCATTCCGAATGTTGACTGTGGCATACGGAAAACCTTGGACCGAAGCAACGTTTATCGGTGGTCCAAAATGTTCTCAGAAGGCCGAGAAGATGTGAACGACGAAGAGCGTGCCGGACGCTTGAGTTCTTGGCACAGAGAAGAACGGTCAATAAGGAATATTACCTGCAAGTTATGCGCAATTTGCGCGAAGCAATCCGCCAGAAACGCCCGGATTTGTGGAAGAACAAAAATTGGCTTTTGCACCACGATAACGCCCCTGCTCACACATCGTTGCTTGTGCGCAACTTTTTGGCCAAAAACAACCCACTAATGATGCCGCAGCCACCGTAATCCCCAGATCTTGCCCCTGTGACTTTTTCTTGTTTTCTAAAGTGAAGAGGCCCATGAAAGGACGACGTTACGCTACGCTTGACGAGATAAAGACGGCATCAAAGGAGGAGCTGAACAAGATAAAAAAAAAAATGATTTTTTTAAGTGCTTCGAAGATTGGAAAAACCGTTGTCACAAGTGCAAAATCTCATGGGGATTACTTTGAAGGGGACAAAATAGATATTCATGAATAAATAAATAATTTTTGAAAAAACACAAAATTCGCGATACTTTTTGAACACACCCCGTATCTATATTTCTAACATTTTTATCGTAAAGTTCCCAATTCTTTTTCTTATGTTCTTCTATCATAGTCCTAGCTCTTCTATATGCTACTTCTACATCTATACTAATATTATAAAGAGGTAAAATTTGTTTGTTTGTTTGTTTGTTTGTTTGTTTGTTTGTTTGTTTGTTTGTTTGCAGGGAATAGGCTCCGGAACTACTGGTCCGATTTAAAAAATTCTTTCACCGATAGAAAGCTATATTATCGTGGAGTTAAATAGGCTATAATTTATTTTGAAAAAAATTAGGGATCCGTAAGAAAATTGCAATATTGTCGCATATAAAGTGAGTTGCTACCTCATCACACTGACAAACACGCTCCCATAGCATTTTAAATCAATTTTTGTGTTCACTGTGAAATTGTGAAAAAAAAAGAATTTTTATTCAATTTAAGTTGAACTGTGAAAATTATGTGGATCGTGCATTTGAGGATAAATTCACCACTCTGTCCATAGTCCAAAATGCTTAGAGGACGACGTGCAAACATTGGCCGCAGACATCCAAGCCAGCAGCCAGTATATTCACAAAACTTAAGCGAAGAAAGACAAATGAGCACATGGAGATCATTAGCATCATTCAATCGCTTGGCATTCCAATATGACCCCACTGCGAACTACAGTGATAATGAAAATTTAGATATTGGACCAATGGCGACCGATATTGCAGTGCGTTAATGTTTAAAAGAGAAACGGCTGGATTGTGCTGCGCAAGTGGAAAAGTCAAACTGGAAAAGTGTTAAATAACCATCTTTCTATACTTCCATATATTTAAAAAATGTTGCAACATTGACTTTTATGTTGTTAAATTGTGTTGACCAGCGAAGCGGACACAGGACCTCTAGTAGCTACATATAGAAGAATACGCTAAGGAAAATAAATACCTCTAACCTATAGATTATGTACTTCTATATTGGTTAGGCTATTAAAGTGCTTTGGTAAGTTGTTAGTTTTCCAAAGACAATACAATATAAGACCTTAAGTTACAACGAAGTTGTGACTAATTATTGTCTTTCGTCGGAATGTTGTTAATTGATGCATGGTCACATCAGTATACAATTTCGTCCAAAAAGTGAAAAAAGGTTCAGTTAATTCTAAAAAACAAGATAAAGGTAAGTTATAATATAAACATTTTTGTTTGTATATCCTTATTTCAGCGTTACGGATATGGTGAACATAGGCATTTTTACTAATATTTAGTAGCCGCCAGAGGCGGTTGTCAAGGAAGTAAGTAAGTTTTTTATTTAAATTTATTTTTCAATTTTATTGGAATGGCAAATAAATTCATATTCGTTACCATTTTCTGATCTTGGTAGTGGACCTATAGTGTCTACTATCACATTGTCAAATGCATTAATGGGAATGTCTGTAATTGTAAAGGAGTTTTTGTGAGTTTCGTTACCTTTATACAATACCAAGCGCCATACTCATTTGGGTTACATACAAATGATGCTCACTCATCTTAACAGAATCTTAACATACAATTAAGGTTATATACAAATTTAACATAATTAGCTTTGCGAATTTACGACATATGTAAATGTAGACAGTATAGCTTCTCTTTCTTTTTATTATTTATTAGGGTCACCGGGTTGAGAAGCGCTACTCTCAATGATTTTTTAAATTATCAATTGAAACTTGTTCAAGATATTTTCCCAAGGCGCCATTTTGAGTTGGATGGTTTTGTATATATCGGCTTGCGTTTCAAGCCTTTGAAAGAACTGACCTAACAGGCAGGCTCCGGTTTTCACTTTTTTTTTTCGTTTTCGTTTTTGGGCGAAAACGTACGTTTTCGTTTTAGGTGCTCCGGTTTTCATAAACTTTTTGTCATCGTTATCGGAATGGTTCATTTTTTCATCTGGCTTGTCTTTCATAAAACCCAGCATGATTTCATCCTGGAGCGTTGACTTATGCTTCCCCCTGAAAACAAAAGCTTTGCATTTAACTTTTAGTACATAAATTAAGTTGTCTTACTTACTTTTTCAAAAGTTCAATTTAGCCTCCATCAGAAATCAGCTGTTTCCCACAATAAGGGCCTGCCACTTTTTTTGCAGTTTTAATTTCACTATTCTTAACAACTTTTTTACTGCACTTTTACCATTTAAGAAAGGACATTAATCATATTTATTTATAAAAAGGTTATTTAACTTTTCTTTACAAATATTCTTTTCTTCATTTTCATTTTATAAGTATTTTTAAGTGGTTGTTTTGTTCCACGACAAGTACGGCAGCATTGACGATAACTTTTGGCAATATATTTATCGACTCTTAGCAAAACGAAAGTTGTTGTTGCCGACGGCAAATATTTTATTTATGAAATCAAGATGGGGTCAGAAAAGAATTATTTAAAAAGTAAATACGAATTAGATTTGTTAAAATGTGTCCCCTTCTGCCGGCGGCTCGGGGTCATAGAATTAAGGGGGTTCCGTCGTCGAACAAACACTTTGAGATTTCAACAATATAATTTCACTATTTATTCGTAGCTTTGAGTTGGTTAGGAATATATAACAATCAAAAGAAAATATAACGCAGCTCCGTCAGCGTCGCGGTGCAGTGCAGAATCAGACTGCCTCGTCTCTCTCCCTCCAGCAGCAGCCAGAGCCCCCTTTGCCCAAACTCTCCGCAAGTATTGGCACCGTGGGGCAAGATTGCGAATCTGAACATGCCGCTCGCCAATGCTAGACCGTAGCATTAAGTGTGCCCTAAGCCTCCTGAGCGTCCTGAGCGTCCTAGGCGTCCTGAGCGTCCTGAGCTGTACCTAGAATCTGGGAGGAGAAAGAAAAAGAAATTGTGTGCATGAGCGTGAGCGACTAGAGCTACATTGAGGGAGGCTATTCTTGAATCGGTAAGCGACAGATCTTCGCTACCGAACGCTTCAGCTGTCCTTGCTGGGTTTTTAGCGTGACCACGCGAACCAAGCCATCCTGACCCGGATGAAGCTCCACAATCCTTCCGAGCAGCCACTGCGATGGAGGAAATCTGTCGTCCTTGACGAGTATAAGTTCATCCAACTTCAGGTTCTCCGAACTTTGTGACCATTTTGGACGCTGCTGCAGATGGCTAAGCCAGTCCCTACTCCAGCCGTCCCAAAAATGCCGTAACATTGATTGCTGAAGCAGGAACTGCTCCCTAAACTTAGCAGAAGCTGGTCGGTACTCCGGGGGCGCAAGCATGGAGTCGCCGATTAGGAAGTGGGCCGGAGTGAGCACGTCTAAATCGTCCGCGTCCGCTGTGAGCGGGCACAGCGGCCTTGAGTTAAGGCACGCTTCTATGCTTATAAGCACCGTGGACATCTCCTCGTAGGTTAGCTTTCGATCCGCGATCACGCGCTTGAGGTGGTGCTTGACCGACTTGACATTGGCCTCCCAAAGCCCACCAAAGTTAGGCGACTGAGGCGGAGTGAAATGCCAAGTGACCCGTAGCTGGGCCCACTTCGGAGCGATGAGCGACTCATAATCATCGCGGAATTGTTTCACCAAACCCTTTAGCTGACGGTCTGCTCCCACAAAGTTGGTGCCATTGTCGCTATATAGATGCTGAACCATGCCTCTACGTCCAGTAAATCGGTCGAATGCCAGCAGGAAGTGTTCCGTGGTGAGCCCGGTCACCAGCTCCAAATGAACTGCCTTTGTTGCGAGACAAATGAACACAGCTATATAGCCCTTGTATGTGCTCGACCCCCGAATCCGCGCCGCTTTGAGCTCAATGGCTCCGGTGTAATCGACTCCGGTCGTGACGAAAGGCCTCTGAGGCGGGTTCACTCGGTGAAGAGGCAGGTCTCCCATGAGCTGCGGCGAGATTGTTGGGTTGGCGCGAAAGCAGCGAACGCATTTTCGTATCACTCGTTGAACGGATCGCTTTCCGGTGATGATCCAGAACCGCTGGCGCGTATGAGCCAAGGTCAGCTGGGCACCTCCGTGAAGCGTAGCTAGGTGGGAAAAGTTAATAACCAGATCGGTAAAATGATGGGTACTGGGGAGAATTATGGGGTGGCGCCTGTCCGCCGGCAACGCAGAGAACCTCAGACGGCCTCGTACCCGCAAAATATCGTCCACCAGATTGGGGGACAGCCGCAACAGCTTGCTCTGGGACGGAAGCGGTTTTGAGTTCCTTACGGATCGAAGGTCCGCCGCGAACGACTCCATCTGGACCATCCGTACGATGCAGAACATGGCGTCGTCGAGCTCGGGTAAGCTCAAGGCTCCTGCGCGTCGGCTCGGCTTGTGCGAAGCGTTGTGAACAAAACGTCGTAGGTAGGCGACCACTCGAACGGCTCGATTGTACGTGGAAAAACGAACGACAAATGACGGGACTGGAGAGACGTGGTGTATTCGGAGCTTGTCCGTTTTCGCTTCCAGCGCTGGCTCGGATGGTAAGATCGAGCTGGGAAACTGCTTCGGCCAAAATTCTCGCTCGCGCGACAACCAGCCTGGCCCTCTCCACCACAAGGTAAAATTCTGTAACTCCTTCGGAGTCAATCCTCTGGTTGCGCAGTCCGCCGGGTTGTCTTCGGTACCCACGTGCCGCCATTGACTTGGGTCAGAATGGTCCAGGATGAATCCAACTCGATTGGCCACAAAGGTCTTCCACCTTTGTACGTCTCCGTTCAGCCAGTGCAAGACGATAGTGGCGTCCGTCCAAAAGAAGGTTTCCATCGGAACTCCGTCAATCCGAACAGCGGTGGACAACCACCTGACCAGCTTGACTGCCAGTACTGCTCCGCTTAGTTCTGTCCTGGGTATCGTTAAGGGCTTGACTGGTGTGACCTTCGTCTTGGCCGCTAGCAAGGTCGTACCGACGGTCCCGTTGACGTGCTCGACTCGCAGGTAAACAGCGGCAGCATACGACGACGACGACCCGTCACAGAAGGCATGCAACTGCACATCGGCTACAGAGGCGGGATCGTACTCCGTCCACCGACTGACGGTGATGTCCTCGATTCCTGGGAGGTCGGAGCGAAATGCTCGCCAACGCTCCAGAATCACTGCCGGCACCGGTGAGTCCCAGTCCAACGACACCTGCACTCCCTCGCTGCTCGCCACCTTGACCGAAGTAACCTCTTTTAAAATGAGCTTCCCAACGATGATGACCGGAGCTATCAGACCTAAGGGATCGAAAAGTCGTGCGATAGCAGCCAGTAAGTTCCTTTTCGTAGTGCACTCTGGAAAGTCAAAATTAATTTTGAACCTGAAACAGTCGGAGTCTGGAAGCCAATACATCCCCAACGCCTTTACCGGATCCTTTGTATCCCAGTTTAAGAAAGTCTGACAGCATCGATGTTCCTGCGGGACCGAGGCTAACAATCGTGGATCGTTGCTCGACCATTTGCGCAATTCCATCCGTGCGGATTTTATAGCTCCCACGACTTGCATCCGCTTCTCTTCCGCATCGTCCATAGTGTGCCCTCCAGATAGTATGTCGTCCACATATATCTCTTCCTTCAAGACCTCGGCGGCCCTTGGGAAAGAATCCTTCTCGTCCTGCGCCAATTGGTGTATGACTCTTATGGCCGTGTATGGTGCGGATGCCGTTCCGAACGTCAGAGTCGACAACGCGTATGCCTTGATGGTTTCATCCGCCGCCCGCCATAAAATCCGCTGATATTGCGTGTCCTCCGGGTGAACGTCAATGCAACGATACATTTTCTGGATATCAGCTGCAAAAACATAACGATATTTTCGCCAATTGAGAAGAACAGCAGACATGTCGTTTTGGAGAGGGGGTCCGGTGACTAAAACATCATTTAGGGATCTCCCGTTGCTCGTTTTTGCGGATGCGTCGAACACTATCCTCTGCTTCGTGGCAGGACCTTCTGCCTTGTAGACGGCGTGGTGGGGTAGCACACAAGATGCATGATGCATTCCGGTCGGTGTGCGAACACATAAGCTGCTCTCGGATCCTTCCGCGACAGCGATTTGTCCCAAGGTGAAATACTCCTCGATCTCCTCCGCGTACTGCCTTTCTTGCACCGGGCGTGCTGCAAGCCGCCGCTCGAGCTGGAGAAATCGGTTAAGGGCCCCTTGGTGGGATCGTCCCAACACGATGTTGTGGTCCAGATATCTCTTGAAAGGAAGACGCACCACGTAGCGCCCATCCGCACGTCGGGAATGCGTTCTTTGAAAGAACGATTCGCACCAGCGATCCTCCTCCGTGCGAGCCGTCCGCTCTGGTACGGTCTCGACCTCGAAAAAACCCTTCAGCAGCGACTCCGCCTCGGAGACTACATGATGGCAACGGATCTGGGTGGAACTGGTCGCGCCGGCGGCTTGACCTGAGAGAATCCATCCCAGCTGAGTCTGTTGCGCAATTGGCTCCGTAGGACTTCCTATCCGTGTACCGGGCAGCATGATCTGCGCGATAAGGTCCACTCCCAAGATAAGGTCAATCCTCTTCGCACGGTCTGCTAGCGGAAGTCCTTGAATGTGGGTCCATCGTTGCGGCGAGAAGCTTGAGCAGGGCAGCAGCGAAGTGACAGTGTCCAACACGTATGCCGAAGAGACGTCTAGCGAGAAATGATTATTAGTACTAAGAACCTTGAAATTATCCATGTTCTTGCTCCTGGACCCAACCCCTTGGCCTACTCCGACAATAGACGTCCTCGCCATTGTCCGCCTGAGATGTAGGGATTGCACCACATGCTCGGATACGATGGTCGCTTCGGAGCCCTGATCGATGAGCGCCGTGATGACAGCTTGCAGCCCGTTGTCTGGGTTCTGGACCGTGATGCGTGCTGTAGCCAGAAGTACATTGCCCACTCGATTAGAGGGCGATGAGGAAGTAAAACATCGATATTCGGAGCCGACTTCCCGTTGAGACTGCTCACCATTATTAGCCACCGACGATCGCGGCTGCAGCGACGACGTCGGGGCAGAGGGCGCCTGCGAAGCGATGGCGGGCTGAGTTGCACTCGGCAAGTGCAACAGCGTATGATGACGCTGACCGCAAATTTGACACCCTTTGTTGCTGGTGCAGCGGGGAAGCGCATGAGCCTTGCTGAGGCAGTTGATGCACAGCTTCGCCCTGCCCACAATCTCCTTGCGCCTCCAAGCGTCCATGGCTAGAAACGCCGAACAACGGCGCAGAATGTGACCGCCGTTGCAATGATGAGAACTTAAGCCGGGACGCCCTGACTCGTCTCGCACGTTGTGCACTCGAACCCGGCGCATGGCATCTGAAGATCCCGGCCCAGGATTGAGGTCGTTCGACGCGCTTCGGTTTTCGATCGCATCCATGACAACTAGCCGGTCGTTCAGAAACGACTCCAGGTCGGCATAGGACGGGACGGTTGCCGTACTACCTTGATGGTGCTCCCATGCGTTGAGTGTCTCCTTTGGGAGCCTGGAAGCCGCGTGATATGCCAGCCAATGGTGTGCCTCCCCTTCTAAGGCCTTGACGCGCTTGAAGGCGGCGAGACACACGTTGACGGTGCTGAGCATAGTCCGGAGCGCTTCCGACGACTCCTTCTGCAATTTCGGCAACGAAAAAATAGCGCTCATGTGATGAGCGAAGACCAGACGCGGGTTGTTGTTGCGCTTTAGCATCAGGGACCAAGCCACCGGGAAGTTGGAGTCGGTGAGCTGCATTTGCGCACGTCGTTATCGCGTCCGGCAGGGAGCGATTCCTTGAGAAAATGCAGCTTTTGCATCCCGGTTAGCGACGGATTGTTGTATACAAGGCTGTTAAATGCATCGAAATATCCCGGCCAGTCCACGGCCGCACCTGAGAATTTCGGCACTGTCATTTGTGGCATCGTCATCCTAACCTCAGCAGTTGGTCCGACAGCTGCGGCGACAGTCGCGGTCTTAGATTCCGCTGGCACAAGCTTCTCTTGATCCTCGGCGAAAAGGCAGTAGGCGTCCATATACCGCTCTTCAAATTCCGATTGCAAATGTTTGGAAGCATACGCCGATTCCGCATAGCCGGCTATGTTAACAATCTGCTCGTGAGCGACCAAAAACGCACTCCGCAATTCATCTATTTGCTGAAAACGTTTTTTAAAATATACCAGCGTTTTCCTACTTGCCGAATCTTTTCTGTAATTTTGTAAAATTGCCTTCAAAGTGCTGTGCCTGTCAACTTGGAGATTAATAAATTTATTTAAGGACAGAGAAGTTTCTGGTTCTGAATTCATGTTGGCGAGAGTAAACAAAACCTTCCCGAAAAAACCTTCACAACAATGCCGCTCAGCTATGACACTCACACGCACACACAAAAAACCTTTTCTTTTCCTTACCCAAAATCCAGCACAAAGCCAAAGCGAAGAAACAAACGGCGTTCCGATCAAAGTTCCAATGCAAAGCCAAATCGAAGATCAGAAGATAACAAGCGGCGTCCCGCCTGAGCGTAGATAAGCGTTTAAGCGGCGCTTAACAATATTTCTTATCTGCTTTATTTGGGTTCGTCGAACCGAGTTGATTTGCACTACACGAACTGACGGAGCTGGCGTCGCGCACTTTTAATGATTTTAGTTGGGCTTTGTATATATGTAATTAAATTGTTCATAAATGTTTGCAGACGTTCCCCTCATGGGCCACCATGTTATAATGTGTCCCCTTCTGCCGGCGGCTCGGGGTCATAGAATTAAGGGGGTTCCGTCGTCGAACAAACACTTTGAGATTTCAACAATATAATTTCACTATTTACTCGTATCTTTGAGTTGGTTAGGAATATATAACAATCAAAAGAAAATATAACGCAGCTCCGTCAGCGTCGCGGTGCAGTGCAGAATCAGACTGCCTCGTCTCTCTCCCTCCAGCAGCAGCCAGAGCCCCCTTTGCCGAAACTCTCCGCAAGTATTGGCACCGTGGGGCAAGATTGCGAATCTGAACAAGATTGATCTACTGATGGTGTGAAATGAACATCAATAGACCAAGGAGTCAACTATCTTTTTCTTTTTGCAATCAAGAATCGATTTGATGTAGAAAAAGGCATTTACTTTTCATTTCGACAAAAAAAACTTGCCCGTTTTTGAAAACGAAAAAGTCTTGTGAAAGTGAAAACGGGAGCACCAATTCTCGTTTTCGAAAACGAAAACAAATAGAAATTAAAAATAATTTTTATTACAAAGTGGCTTTTAATAAGTTCCGGTGGTGTCCTAAATAGGAAAAACGCAAAACAAAGGAATATGAACGTGAGTTTTCCTCTTGCAAGCCTCGTGTACTATTTGTTAAATTTGGACGCTGTCTAGTGCAGTGTCGGCAGACGTTTAACTACAAAATCATATCTGTAGTGGAATTAAGACTGCTTTCTGTGGCCGTTTGGGCAGAACGACAGCCCTTCACTGTGCGCGCAGCCGCACAAAAAGAAAAACTAACAAATGGATAGAAACACACCCTCACATCCGCTGCTCTTGAAAGAGCTGACTGGATTCGAGAAAATGAAAGAAGTCGCTGGCCAATCTCCAGCGGAACTTCGAGCTATGCTTTCCGGAGATTTGTCTCGACGGCATTTAGACAGCCTACCGCAACTAAACGTGGATGCTTTTAAAACCAGCCCAGCAACACCCGTTACCAACACCGTTACTGCTACAAGTGCCAGTTCTGGCACTACCACGTAAACCGTTGCAGCCTCGCCACGTATCTCTACAGCAGAAATGAATTTGGGAATTCAATTCTCAAAACTACCCGCTGTGGAGTGCTCATTTCAAGCACCAAGTGCTTCTCTACGCAGGAAACGGAACCCTTCAAACTGCAGTAAAGAGCCAGCTGACATAAAGAAAAGCAAAGCTAATGCCAACGCCAATGCCAATGCCAAAGTTGCTGATTCAAATCAGGCTTCGACATCCAACGGACTGCGCAACAACCGCTTCGCACCGCTAGCTGAGGAAAATAGCTCTACTGAGGAAATGGAGACAATTGAGGAGATGTTTGATCTCAATAGCCAAGCGCAAGGTTCAAGCAAACCGGATCTAATGAAGCCTAAACCCCCGCCCTTATGTGTTCCAAAGGTTACTAATATTCTCACTCTAGAAGGAACCTTAAATAATATCATCTCTGCAGATAAATACGAGATACGTACTTCTAAATTCGGAATTACTCGTACATACACTGACAGCGCGAGCTCTTTCCGCAAGGTAGTTCGCAGCCTGACTGCGTTGAATTGCGAGTTTTGGCATCATCAACTCCGCGAGGACAAGCCATTTAAGCTGGTGCTAAGGAACATACACTCCACAGTGGAGTCTCCACTGTCCCTAAGGATGAAATAGAGCGTTGTTTCACGGACAAAGGTTTCAACGTTGCAAATATTTACTGCCCAAAAAATCCTGGCATGCGCGGGACTATATGCGAAATAAATAATGATGATAGGCAAAATTTATTCTATGTAAATCTCAAGATGACGCCGAATGTCGCCGAGGAAAGTTCGGATTTTTTTTAGGTATGTAACCATTATTTAATTTTTAACAATGTTTGTGCAAAATTTCGTGGAAAAATATTAAATAGTTTTTAAGGGGTGGCTGTTTCCTTTAGAGGCCTTTTTTTTGAAGAGCCTTGCGGTGATAATTCCCCAGGTCGAACAGGTCAACCGAAACCATAAAAGTAAAAAAATTTCATTAGTTTAGTGTAATTCCTTGTGCTTGAACGATCGGTTTTAAAATTTTTTTTTTTAATGCTAAAAATTGACTTTTTGGTCTCTAGAAATTTCACTAAAAAATTCATTTCGGCGAAAAAAAGTGCGTGAAAAGTCGATCGTTCAAGCACAAGATAATTTCATTACGAACATTTAAAAAAAAATTTGAAGTAAATCGGTTCAGTAGTTTTCCGCCAATCCTTATCACCGCAAAGTCGTTTTTTAAGAAACACCATTTCGAGATATTCACGTTGAAAGTTTCAAGTTCAGTTTCGGGCCGCGACGAGGCGCGCGGTTAGGAGCGCTGTAACTTTTTTCTTTTGCTCGAATCTCTATGAAAATTTGGGAAAATGTTCTCAAGGAGTTGTTCTTTAAGATAAAGCAATCAAAAATGTTCGATTTTTTGAAAATAAAAAAGGTATATAACCCCTTAAGCCGTTTAACCTAACTACTATGGAAAATCGAATGCTTGTGCAAATGCGACTGGATAGGCCTTTTCAAATGGCTCTTCCCACAAGGCCTGTTACCCTACAAGAAGTTGTGACGCAGATCGGAAAGCTCAAAAATAAAAAAGCCCCAGGCGAGGACCGTATAGACAACAAAACGCTAAAGATCCTTTCCAAAAAATGAAAATGTGAGTAGAGCTATTCTAAAGTGGCAGTTTGGTTTTCGAAAAAGTTACGGCACCCCTGAACAGCTTCATCGCGTGGTCAATTTCGCTCTGGAAGCCATGGAAAGCAAAATGTACACAGTTGCTGTGTTTATGGATATCCAACAAGCCTCTGATAGAGTATGGAACGACGGCCTCCTAAGCAAGCTAAAGACCCTACTAACGCCTCAGCTTTTCCTCCTTATTCAGAGCTTCCTTACGGATAGGACATTCAGTGTTGTTGTCGAAGGCGAAGAGTCGTCAAAACGTCCAATCTCAACCGGTGTTCCACAAGGCAGTGTACTAGGCCCGACACTCACTGTATACGTCAGTTATGCCAGATTCCTGGGGATGTACCGAAGTTGACGACGATGACATACTCATCGCAACATACGCCGACGACACAGCGGTTATGGTCAGGAGTCCAAGTATAGACATTGCAGCCTTGGGCTTGCAGGAGTACGTATCACGTTTTAAAAATGGACAACTGATTGGAATATAGGCATAAACTGCAACAAATGTGCTTGTGTCACATTTTCCACAAGGCCAAAGAACTGCCCAGGCATTTCAATGCTCGGTTCTGTACTTCGTCACGAGCACTTCTACAAGAACCTTGGTGTGATCTTGGATAGAGGACTCACTTTCCAGATGCACACCACAATGGTCAAGCAGTCAGTGCTTTCAAAGGCACCAAGTATGTCCTGGCTACTTTCGTCAAGAAATAAGCTCTTTTTGTCGAACAAAGTACGCATTTATAAATCTATTATCAGTCCAATCTGGAAATATGCATTACAAGTCTATGGCATAGCATCTAAGTCCAACCTGAACAAAATAAGAATAGCGCAAAGCAAGATTTTAAGATCAATTTGTAATGCCCCCTGGTTCATGAGAACCAGAGATATAGAAAGAGATCTCAAAATCCCAAAGATTGGCGATGTTTGTCGAACACATGCTGAAAGCTACTTCAGACGCCTTGGCTCTCATCCTAACTCCCTGGCGATGAGGCTAACTAGGAGACCAACAAGAAGAAGACTCAAAAGATACCACCCACACGACCTTCCATTAAGATATATTTAATACCCTCGAAGACTGATCTAATTGAATTACACATGAATAGAATTAATGTATAATCTTGTACCATCCCTTTGTTAACCCCTATATTTACAACCTGCTCAAGCTGCCACATAGGTAGCAGTATACCCGTTAAATAATAAATATACACTTTTTACTTTTTTACTAAAAAAAGGGAACGAAAACGAGAGAATCTTGTGAAAGTGAAAACCGGAGCCTGCCGGTTAGTCAAGGATTTCATTCGTATACAAATCGCTAACATCATATCTTAAAATTATTTTCTTTCCATGCCTAAAG